CGCCTACTGATTAACATTTGGGTGGCCTGTCAAAAGAACAAAAAGGTCTGTCTTGAAGGAGGTGTAACCAGGGTACTACTTAGAGGCAAGGATGGTGAAACTTCAGCTCCCCATGTTCTAATGTGGGCATGTTGTCAGGTGGGACCAGTCTTTGGAAAAAGACATTGTTCTTGGAAAAGTAGAATGTCAGTGAAAGAAAGACCTTCTAAAAAGATAGATTGACACAGGGACCGTGAGAATGAGTTTGCGTGTACTGGATATTGTGAGGCTGGCAGCAGATGGGGCAAGGTTCATACAGGTCGTGACTACCCTGAGCCATCACAGTTCATGGGTGCTTAAACTACGCTGAAGTCCCTGAGTGGCTGTTTGTAGAGAATTGCACTGCCAAAGCCAAGGTACACAGTTCAAGTCCACCAGCTGCTCCATTGGGAGAAAGATGAGTAATCTCCTTTCATGAGATTTACTGCCTCTGAAAACCCACTAGAGGGTCAGCTATGCATTGGTTCCAACTTGACAGTTGTTGTTGTTATGTGCCGTTTAGTCTACTGCGACTCATAGCAACCCTGTGTTCAACACCCCTAATCCGTGCTCTATCCCTTGCCAATCTTATTGTATACAACACATCTACTCCCATTACCCCAGTCACTGAGTCAATCCATCTCATTGATGGTCTTCCTCTCCTGCACTGTCTCTCCACCCTCCCAAGCATGAAGTTGCTAAGGACTGATCTCTCCTTGCAACATGCCCAAAGTATGGAGCTTCAGAATCCTTGCCTCCAAAGAGTAGCCTGGCTTCACCGTCTCCAGGATGAACTTGTTTGTTCTCCTAGCAGTCCATGATATATTCAACACTCTTCTCCAGCACCACAGCTCAGAGGCATCAATTCTCATTCTATCATCCCTAGTCATTGTCCAGCTTTCTGATGTATAGCAAGTAATTGCAAAGATCGTGGCCTGTATCAGGTGCACCCTAGTCTCCAGGCTGGCATCGTACTTTGGACAGGTCTCTAACAGAAGACTTTTCTGTTGATTGTACAGCTAAGAACCTGAAGCTGTTGACAATCTCAATCTCGTCACCATTTATTATGATGTTGCCTATCGGCCCAGGGGTGAAAAATCTTTGTTTTCTTGATGTTGAGCTTCAATCCATGTTGAAGGTACACAACAAAAACACAGTAGCTGAAAAGGTGGGGTGCTTCACTAAGTGGTGCTTCAGAAGAAAGACTTGTGATCTACTTCTGAAAACTTTGTAGAGCACAGTTCTCCTTGGACACGTGGGGGGACACCAGGAGTCGGCCTGGGCAGCACTGGTAATGAGCTATGACAGGCAGGCATGGTGAGAGGGTCTTTGCACACAACATTTACAGTAACCCTACGTGTTGTCACAGTCCTTGCTTCACTGATGGAGACACAAAGATACTTACTCCATGTGGCACAGCCAGCAAGTGAAAGGGCCAGGATTCCAACCGGCTTCTGCTTTACAGCCTCCCTATTCCATTGCCTTTGCCTCCCATTACTAAGACAGAGTGATTTGGTCAAGGTCCCTGGGGTGGCACCTGTCACACTGCCTGTGGCTTTGACTGGATGCTCATCAATGCTGTGGAATCAATCTCAAGAAGGGGTGAGCGGACCTCCAAGCCAGGTGCCACCTCCAGGAGACAGTGCCCCCATGTCATCAAGTCAAGTGTAACTCATTGCAAGCTACACTATGAACAGTGGATCTGGACCTTGCCCTATCTTGTCCAATCTTCAGCACCTCCAGTTATACTCAAGCCCACTACTATAGTTACTAGGCCAACCCATCTCACTGAGGGTCTTCCTCTCTTCTGCTGACCCTGCACCTTTACAAGTAGTACAGAGTCCTTATCCAAGTACTGGCCCCTCTCAACAACATGCCCCAAGTATATGAGGTGCCACTTTACCATCTTTGCCAACAGGGAGAACTCTGGTCACACTTTCTCCAATTCAGACTTGTTTATTCTTTTGGCAGCCCACAGGATAGTCAGTATTTCAACACCAAACAGGAAGAGGGAGAATTATTAATTAAGTCACATGTCAACTGGATTCTGGTAGCTGCTTCTTGGACAAAGAGGATCCACAGCATTGAAGAGATTGATATGCCCCACCTACCTCCTTGGTACAAGTCTTGAATCCCTTCTCAACAAGATGCAGACCAGTGGGGTCTCTAGGGGCCTTAAAGGGTATCAATTGCACCGGGTGACTCTGTCAGGGGGAGTGACAACAAAACACCATCTACAAGATTTCTATGCAGTTTTTCAGCAGAAATTGAGTGGTGAGGAGCTGTGCTGTCAACCTAAAAGCACGCAGTTTTAATCCACCAGTTGCTCCACAGGGTGAGAATGGGCAATCAACTCCCATGCAGTTTACGGCCTCTGTCAGCTTATGGACCAATTCTGACTCAATGACACTCAACCAAAACAAGTGAGGTATAACAACAAAAATATTTTTGTAAATCCAGTTTACATCGTTTCAATATAAATATATATATATATACATATATATATATATCAAAAATCTATATCTATATCCATATCCATATCTCTTGATCTCTATCTCTATCTCAAGGCTAAACTCTATGCTAATTACCTTTGGAACATTCCAATGTGAATTCCAGATACTTAATTGTGCTCATATGAAACCTGTACTTAGACTAAGAAGCTATTGTCCCAACAGAACAAGGGAATGGTTTCAAATCAAGAAAGATGTGTGTCAGGGCTGTATCCTTTCTCCATACCTATTCAATCTGTATGCTGAGCAAATCATTCAAGAGGCTAAACTTTATGAAAAAGAATGTGACATCAGGATTGGAGGAACATTATCAACAATCTGTATTATACAAATGACACAACTTTGCTTGCTGAAGCAAGGAAGAGTTGAAACACTTGCTGAAGAAGATCAGGGACTATAGTATTCAATATGATTACATCTCAACATCAAGAAGACTAAAATCCTCACTGCTGAACCAACAGACAATGTCATGATGGGGGGGGGGGGAATTTGAGGTTGTCAACGGTTTCATCTTGCTTGGCTCCACAATCAACACCCCTGGCATCAGCAGTCAAAGAAATTAAAATACATATTGCATTGGATAAATCTATCATCAAAGAGCTCTCCAAAGTGCCAAAGAGCAATGATGTCAGTTTAAAGACCAAGGTAACCTGATTTCTGAAGAGAAGAAAATGGTACAAAGGGGTACAAGGCAGTGAGAGTCTCTCTAAAAGAGCCAGAGGGAGCAAAAGAGAACATCTCCTCACTCCCCTGGACCAGAAAGTAGATAAAGAGCATGTAGCCCAGCCCCACGGTGCCTCTAGAGACAATCCAATGACAAGAGGTTTATTTACACATTGCTGACTCAAAGACTCACAGTTATGGTACCAGCAGTGGGTTTATTAGGGAACCTGGAGATTGAGGGAGGCAAAGAGTATCACCCAAAATGAGTCCAGGTTTTAGCCCATGTTCCAAGGCATAATTCCTCAATTAGCAATTAGTCCAGGCTCAGTTCAGAAGTCAAATCCCAATCACCTAGCAAGGTTTGCCTCAGAGAAGTTATAAGTCAGCTTCTCCTACCATCCAGCAAGAACAGCAAAAGCCACCTTTAACTATGGCCTTTAACTATGGCCAGCACAAATGCAAGAAGCCTCAGGTCACACCTTGCCATAGTTTCTGCACAAAGCCACAGTCTCTTCAACAGCATCACCATCTGCTCCAGTCTCCCTCAAGTCTTGCTGCCACAAGTCTTACTTGCCCCAATTCTTGCCCCCACGTGTGTTAATGCACTCTTTCTCTTATTCTAGTCCCACAACTATTGATGACTTGCAAAACTATGTTGGTTTGCAAGACCATGTGTCTACAGTTAAGATAGCTGGAGGCTAACTGTAACGGCTTAAAATAAAATGGCCAACTTTTAGGCTAACGCCAAGGCATGCTTTTTACAATTGCTTGTTGTGTATCTAAAAGTTTAATAATAAGGATAGCAGAAGAAGAACTGATGCTTTTAAACTGTGGTGTTGGAGAAGAGAACTAAATATATCTCATGGACTTCGAAAAGAACAAAAATGTCTTGGAAAAGATGTAACCAGGGTAACCCCTGGAGGCAAGGATGGTGAAACTTTATCTCTCATATTTGGGGAATGTTATTAGGAGGGCCAGTCCTTGAACAGAGACATCAAGCTTGGACAGATGGAGAGTCAACCAAGGAGATCAAGAGCTTCAACAAGATGAACTGACACAGAGACTGTTAAAATGGGCTCAAGATCTCATCGGAGATGATAAAAATAGCACAGGACCAGACAGGGTACAGAACTGTTATTCACAGGGCCTCGCTATGAGTCAGTCAACTCAACCACACACAGCAACAGTAATGGGCTTTGGTCAGAGTTCTCATTAGTCTCCAGTCACCACGGGGCTTAGACTCTTGTGATGTTGTCTGTACACATCACAAGCTCACACTGGTTTTGTTCCTTGCTGCCAGAATTTTTCTAGTCATTGTTTCTGTCAGACTTTCTTGTGTTAAGGCAGGATCAGTAATTGGAGAGGGATGTCATGCTTGGGAGGGTGGAGGGACAGCACAGGAGAGGAAGACCCTCGATGAGATGGATTGATTCAGTGAAATGGAATAGGTGTGTCAGAGACAATAAGATTGGCAAGGGATAGAGAAGGGTTTAGGGCTATTGTACATCGGGTCACTATGAGTTGCAGGCACATAACAACAACAATTGCGGTCATTAGTATTTATGAGCCTATATCAATAATTCTTTGGAGAATGAAGTAGTAAATAAAGGAAAATAAAAAAGTTTCCACTCAGGAGTTAATGTAATTTGATGTAGAAGATCCAATGACTGAGTAGAGAAAATAAAGTCATTTTATTTAAGATACATTTTCTAAAAGCAAAAGAGTGGTTGCCCCTAGAGAGATGACGGCTTCAAGCCCCGTGGAAGGGGCTGTAGCCCACGCTCTCTCAGCTGAGATATTCCCAGCGGCCGTGGGCTCGGATTCGGCGGGAGATGTGGTACAGCTCCATCGCTGCTCTTGCATCTTCCACTGAACTGTGCCCGGAGTGACTGTTCTGCAGACACAGGAGAGAAACCTGGGTCAGCGCTGAGTGTGGAGGGCCATGGGGACATCTCAGGCTGCCTCAGACACCTGGGTTGCCCCTGGGTTTCCCTTCCTCTCCTTCCAAGGGCTCGCTTCCCAGATGCCCCAAGTTGAGCAGTGGGGGACACCTGGTGGGATTCGTCTAGTGGCTACAATTACTTCACATTATTAATAACCCAGTAGAGAGTGTTGTGATCCTGGCTGGCATTTGGGAAGGTTCCTGACCCACGCACTGGACACTGTGCTAGTGTTCACCATCATAACCTTGCTACAGAAGAGGAAACTGAGGCACAGAGAGGCTACCCACTCTCACAGACTCTGTCCTTTGGAAAAGGAAGCTGATGACCGAATCAGAAAATGATGTGAACTTCCTTCTCTGCTCACCAGAGCAGTGCATCACAGGGCAGAGACAAGGCAGACGTGGCATCAGACCCAAGTTCAAACCCCAGCTCTCCTCTTATAAGCTCTGAATATGGATGAACAGCCATTTCTTTCTGGGCTTTGTTTTCCTCTTCTGTAAAATGGGCCTGACTGAACCTGCCTTAGAGGACCGAATGAGAGAATGGCAAGTTCCCACCCCTCAAGGATTTCTTGATTGTAGGAAAGCCTCATGACTGCCTGAGTGGGGTGGTCCAGGTGGGCACTATATGGGCCGCAGGACCATCTTCTAATTGTCACCTGGAGGTAACACCACCCCACGTTAGCTCCTATGTCGCTTGGCTGTGCAAAGGGCTAAAGCAGGTGGCTGGGGCTTCTATGTAGGGAAGAGCTGGGGGCAGGGCTGGGGATCCGGGAACACTTGGACTTAATGATCCTAGCAGTTCAGGGACCCTGTGTCACGGTCAAAGTCCCCAGAACCAGGTCCCATATGGAGAGCTCCAAGGAAAGCTCAGACTGGTCGTTAGACGCCACCGGGCTAAGAGACGCCCAGACCCAGGCCTGTCCTCTGCTCCCAGGTGCCCGGCCAGGGAGGCACACTCTGCCAAGTTCTGCTATTACCCTCCCGCATCCCTGGGAGAGCTTCTCCTATTGTCTTGACTAAAATGTCTTCAAACTCAATTCAGATCAAATCTCCTGCCCTACCACCCTGTCCTTTGTCCCCGCCACAGGGTTATTCCTGCCAATGGCAGACAATGCTGAGTGGTGGTGATCTGGGTACGAGTCACCCTCTCACTCAACCAAGGGCAGCCCCAGGGACAGAGAGGGCCAGGTATCCATCAGCACTGGTCATGCGATTCCAACACCTGTCCCCTTAGCCGGCACAGGGTTGCTGTTAGGAGCCGTTAAGTTGACCCCCACTCATGGTGGCACCACACCTGCAGAAAGGAACTGCTCCTTTGGGAACAAGATTGCCAGGCCCTCCTTCCGAGGTATCTATGGATGGATTTGAACCATCTACCTTTTGGCTAGCAGTTGTGTACTTAACCGTCTATGTCACCCAGGGACTCTGGGATGACCAGGCTAAACCCATCCCTGTTGAGTTGATTTTGGCTCAGAGAGAGCCTGAAGCATCAAGCCACCGCCCAAGAGTTGAGTCTGGCTCAGGGGGAGCCTCCACTGAATTTCCAAAGCCATGGATCTTTCCTGGAGGAGCATCTTTCTCCCATGCAGTGGCTGGGGGACCTGAACGACTGATCTTTTGGGCAGCAGCTTAATGTGCTACCCACCCCCAGGGCTCTCTGCTTAACGAAGAGTGGTAGCTTTCTGTGCCTGCCTCTGCCCTGTCCCCACGCTGCCACCCTGTGCTGGAGGCCACTCTGCCCACCACCTGCAGTACTGAGGAGCTCGGTCCCTGGAGCCACTCTCAGCCGTGTAAATGCCCCAGCAACCCGGATCCTCTGCTGGGATAAATCCAAGGCATGTGCTTCTCACCATTTTCCAGAGTTCTCCAGAGAGATTATGTTACCAACTGGGTGGTTCCCCAGTGGCACAAATGATTAAGTGCTGAGCTACTAAGCGAAAGGTTGGCTATTCAAATCCACCCATAGCCAGTTTGAAATAAAAGGCCTGGAATCTACTTTTGAAAGATCCAAACCAGTTGTTGAGTTGATTTGGACTCTTAAGACACACCATGTGTGTCAGGACAAGACTGCTCCCAGGGATTTCAGGGCTGCTGCAGTTTTTGGTCCAACACCCTGATGGTGACCATGAGCCAGAGTCCATTCAACAGCAAAGGGGTTTTTGTTTTCTAAGTCCAGAGTTACTTTTTTTTTTTTTAATCCTCTTTACCAGCCTTCCCTTTGCCTCTTCCCCCACACCTCCTGGGTCCCCCTCACACCTCTCCCCCTCAGACCCTCGTGCTGTGGTCTGCTTCTGGGACAGTGAGCCAGCCCTTCACATGAGCACTGGACATCTCATAAGTGTGGGGAAGACGGTGTGTCTGGGGCAGCCCGGGCCAGCCTGGGAGGGGAGGCCGTGCGTACCTGGATGGGCCTCTTGAGAAGGTGCTCACACAGCGCCCGGAGCGAGACCCGCCTGCAGTGGCCCAGCCTGGCATAGCGTCTCAGCATCAGGTCAGTGGACGTGTCATAGATGTTGTACCTGCTCATGTCCTCTTTCAGGGCCTTGAAATCATGCTTCAGGTCATGGCCCACCACCAGCTTGCCTCTTAGGAGCTGCAGGATCTGACCAGGAAAGCAAGGATCCCCCATGCTGTGTGACGTGAGGGAAATGATCGTCCCCCTCTGAGCTTCAAATAATCATCACATGGGGAGACTGGACCCCTATCCTTCTTCACTCAGTAGTTTAGGTCTGTGTCAAGGGCCCTTCCCAAACTCCGAGGACCCACAGAACACTTACCACACTGTTACAGCATTTAACCACACCATTTAACCCTCTCAAGGAGCTTTGGTGGCCCAGTGATAAGAAGCTGCAGTGCAGTCCCAAAGGCACCCAGTTCGTATCCACTAGCCGCTCTGCAGGAGGATAGGCAATCTCTTCCCATGTGATTTCCTCTCTGAAAACCCACCAGAGGGTCAGCTACGGGTCAGTTCTGACTTGATGGCACACAACAAACACAACCACCAACCCCCTCAAGAATCCCACTCTGGCAGTCAGATAATGTCCCTGCCCACCCCCACCCGACTCCCAGAGGTGTGCACACGTCACTCTCCAGAGTGATGACCATCATCGATGATCATCATCGATTACCTGATGAATGGGAATTAAAGTTTTAGATGGATGTTGTTGTATTGCTTACAACTCACAGCAGCCTATTGGGATAGAATAGTTCTACCCACAGGGGCTCCTGGGCTGTAATGAGGGCGGGTGGCTGCTGGAAGCTGCAACCAGAAGATGAACTGTTCACACCCTTACTCCTATTCTGAGCCTCCTGTAGGAACCCAGCGTGTTGTCACTTTTATTGTAGCCCCATAAGAACAAGGCTGGCCTTCTGACCTATAGAACTCTGGGGTAATAAATGAGTGTTAAGTCACTGAGTTTATGGTTGTTAAGATAGCCATCCTGGGAAATGGATTCAGCAGCGAGGAAGAACCATTTTAAACCAGAATTTGCAGATGAAGATGCTAAAATCTCACTTGCCTGAGAACACTATGCTTTTAAAACTAGTTCACAAGTTCCTTGATAGGCCTCTCCCTAGGGGCTGACCTAAGCCCTTCTCCCCTTTAAGAGCCATCTCCCTAGGGACTGAGACCCTCCTTCCCTTGAATACAGGCTGGGCTCTCTGTCTCTATCCTCTGTTTCTGCCTGTGTGTGTCATTCTATTTCCCTGTCTTTCCCCCTGTGTCTCTGTCTGTCTCTCTCTGCCTCTCTGGGGCAGGCACGCTCAGAGCTCTGATCTCTGACCCCAGCTGAAGAGTGTGATAGCCCCAGGCACCAGACAAGTGGTGCAAACCTTCCCTGCCTGCAGACACCTCAGCTGATGTTGGGTGAAGGCCAGACATTCTGTCCCAGCTGGCTCCACCCATAATACAAGTGCAAATCAAACACCACCACTGTTTTAATCTCACATTTTGGAGTAATTTGTTAAATCCAACAGCTGTGTGTCAGAGCTAGAGTTCAAATAAAGTTAGGCTGTTGACCCCTCAAGCTGGTGACCACCACGCTGGCCTGGGAGAGGTGCTCTGCCCAGACCTCCCGGTCCAGATCCACCATGGCCAGACTGCAGCCAGACCCCGAGTGATCTGAGCCCTCTCATCTCCTCTCCTATGGAGGCCCCTGAATACAATCCTAAACTCTATTCATAACAGGTCAGTTGCCCCCTTTTAATGTGGCTGGCGGTAGGGAAGGTGGAAGGAAGGCTTGGGATGTACAGTTGGGGTGCTGCACTTGAAAAGGAAACGTCTGAGCTCGTAGCTGCATCAGGCACCTTCGGGGCAGCCTTCCGACAGTCCTTGCCTGAGCTCAGCTCGGCGCTGGTCAACCCTGGAAGGACCTTCTGGCTAACACCTTCCTGGATCCTGCTTCTCTTTCTAGTCAGTGGCCTCTGGGGCATCTTGTCCTCCCTCCCTGTACAGAAGGACAGGATGCCTGTGACCGTGGTACTGTGGAGGAAGCTGAGGGTCAGAGGTGTGAAGCTACACAGCACTGGAAGGCCTGTCCACCCTCCACCTGGTGGGGGCCTTGACAGTTGGGCTTCCACCAAGAGGTAATTCGTTCCATCTGAATGCCTTCCTGCTTCCCTGAGGGGCTGGGAAAGCCCTCTAAGGAATGAGACAGCACACCCCCAGACTACAGTGCTTTGCGGGCTTGTGGGTGCTCAGCAGTCCCCCAGGGAATCTTGCTAAAGGATTCAGACTCAGTGGAAATTTTTTGGTTGTCTTTTGGAGGCTCTGGGTGTGGCCAGCGTTGGCCTCCCTGAGAAACCCCTGAGGGTCAGCGGGGGTTTCAGAACTCCCTCAGAGCAGCTGTTGGAGGAACTGATGAGGGAGGCAGGGAACTGAGGAATGAGGAAGGGGCTGTCTTCTCCGGAAAGGAGGGGTTGCCCAGTGGTGCTGTGGTTTTCCCAGTGGTCCTTGTCCATCAGCCCTGGAACCCATTTCACACAGAGCGCTGGAGGAATCGGTCAGCTGCCCCAGAGGCAGCACCGCCTTTACATCAAAGGACCCGCACTGAGGCCAAGGCTTGGCACTTTCAGAGTCCTAAGTGGAGGAGCTGTGTCCTCCTGAAACCAGAAAGAATAAAGTAAGAGGAGGGTAGAGGGTGGAAGAAAGGGAAATGGGCCATTTAGCAGAATGAGACCAGAAAACCCCTTGGCATAAAAATAGTGGGTATTGGCCAGAAAAGATTGCTAGGACTTGCTGTGTGGCCCCGGTTTCTCCAATTATAAGGTGGGGGCCCTAAAAAAGTGGGGCTGGCAGTGCTCCGCTGATGTCTAGGCTGAGAGGGGAGTGGCTGGCTGGCTGGGCTACAGGGCCGGAGCTCAGTCAGTCTCATGAAGTAGAAAAGCAAGACTTCTCCACTGTCAGGTGCAGGGATGGAGACACTCAAATTCCTGGAAAGAACAGAAGGGGGCATGGGGGGGACATACATGGATCGCCTCTCATCAGCCTGGCACTGGCCAGGTAATTCATACACCCTCTCAGGCAGAGCATTCCTAGTCTCATTTTACACAGGAGAGAGCTGAGGGGCAGAGTGGCTGTGAGCTTGAGAGCTGGATCTGCCTCTGTATGTTTGTATTCATTGCTGACTAGTCGGAACAAGCTTACTGACCCTCAAGTGGGTTTGCAGAGGCTGAAATTACCCGTTTTTCTCCCTCGGAGCAGCCAGTGGATTTGAACTGCCTTTCTTTGGGTTGGCAGCACAACTCCTTACCCTCTAGATCAGCAGAGGTCCTTGGATCTGCCTGTATCAACCATTGTTATCACTGGGGCTGTTCTCATTACCATCTGCTGAGCATCTAGGATTGAACATTATCAACGTAGTATCGGGGGGGGGGGGGGCTGCAGGTTGGCATGCTCCACAGTTAACTGAAACGCTGGAGTGAAATATGTAGATATGGGGGTTCCACTGGAAAATCAGCCACTTAAAACCTTCAGGGACACTGCTATCTGATCCAAACCAATCACATTGGGCAGCATTTTGCTCTGTTGTACATGGGGTTGCTGTGAGTTGTAAATGACTTGACAGCAGCTGAGAAGCATTAGGAGGGAGTCCTGGGATGGTGCAAATTCTTAGAGTGCTTGGCTGCTAACCACAAGGTTGATGATGGTTCAGGTCCACCCAGAAGTGCGTCTGAGGAAAGGCCTCACCAGCCACTGGAAATCCTACAGGAGCCAGGTCTGTATTCACACAAGAGAGGCTGTCACCAGTAGACGCAACGACAGTTGATTTGGTGAGACTGGTGTTCTGTAACCTCAGACGGGAGAGGAAGGCTGGGCACATGATGGCCTTTAGTGAGAATTTCTGGAATACGATCTTGGTAAAAGGAACAGCACAGCCACCCAGGAACAAAGGAAAAGGGAGGCTCTGAGGTCACAGGGCAGGGGAGGGAGCCTGGGCACACAGCCTGCTGGCACCCTCTTTCCACTCTGTTCCTTCTGCATTTCCAAGTATCTCCCCATGTGTCTGACCCAAAAATAACAGCAGCTGACAACATATCAGACCCACTAGATCAAAATACCCAGATCGGGCTAAGAGAGCGTGTGAGCAAATGCGGCTGGCTGACAGGTTTGAAACCTCTGCCTGATCCACATACACCCTTCATTAGCTCGTGCCCATTTCTTCACTTCTGCACCCAGAAGAAGTGTTTGTGTCCTATATACAAAACACCAGATGTCATCTGCAGGAGTCCTGGTGGCCTAGATGACAATCATTTGAGTGCTAACCAAAAGGGTAGAAGTTCTGTCTCAATAGCTGCTCTAGGTGGAAATCAGTCTGCCCTTGTAGACATCACAGCCTTGGAAACTGCGTAAGGCAGCCTCTACCTTACCTGGCTGTGACCAGCTAGCTCTGGTGGCCTACTGGTAAGAAGCTGTGCTGCAATCTCAAAGGCACATGGTTCGAATCCACCAGCTGCTCCATGAGAGAAGGCTAGGCCCTCTCCTCCTGTGAGATACACTGCCTCTGAAAACCTGGGGAGTCAGCTATGAGTCATTTCTGACTAACATAACAGAACCCTGTCTTATAGGATCATCATGAGTTAACTTGACAGCAAGGGTTTTAGTTACTGTCTAGGAGGATATGTAGGTCGGTGCCAAGAGCTGTGGAACCAGGCAGGCAGCAAAGAAAAGTAAGCAAGCAATAATGTACATGGACAACACCAAAAGTGGGAGAGAGACACACACCACCCCCCCATAGAGGGGCCCAGAGGAACAATGGCAGTGGATTTGGGGAAGGGCCTCATAAAATGTATGGCTGGGGAGCTCTGGTGGCCTAGTGGCAAGAAGCGTTGGTGCTGCAATTCCAAAGGCACAGTTTGAGGCCACTGGCTGCTCTGTGGGGAAAGGATGGGCAATCTCTTCCCATGTGATTAACTGCTTCTGATATCACCTTTGCTTATAAAAGTTTAAAAAAGTCCCACTGGACTGAGCCTGCCACAGTGACCGCATCTGTGGGGACAGCATGGTGTGGAAGTAGCCGAAACACAGGCTGAGCCAGGAGGGGCAGCAGCCACAGTGGACAGACTGGAGTCTGGAAGACCAAGCATGTTGGGTTAAGGGGATCTTAACAACAGGGAGCCGTGGGGGTACTTGAGCAGGGGGGTGGCTGTGGCCTGGGCCACGCTCGAGGAGGTTCTCTGGCAGCAGCACAAGAGAGATGGCAGGAAGTACCCAGAACAGCAGGCAGAAAGTACAGACCCAAGTCTAGGGCTGCAGTTCTCAGAAGTCAGAGGGACGTGGGACAGGTGGCCTGGGGTTTGGCCCTTCCTTCTGTGCAGGCACGTTTCGTGCACGTCAGCTAGAAGCCAGGTGCAGCGCTGGAGGCCAGAGCCTACGTCACCACATCCACCTATGATGCCAGGCAGAGGCCCTGTCCCTCCCCAGCAGTGAGGAGGAAAGAAGTCCCTCAGTGCTCAGTTAAGCAGGTAACAACTCACTCAAAGGTTCACAGTTCTAGTCCACCCCCAGATACCTCGGAAGAAGGGCCTGGTGATCTACTTTAAAAAGCATCAGCCACGAAACCCAAAGGAGCCCTGGTGGGCTATGGTAAGTCGTTGCGCTGTCAACCCAAAGGCAAGCAGTTCGGATCTACCACCTGCTCCACAGGAGACACAAGGACAATCTCCTCCTGTGTGATTTCCATCAACTATGAGTCAGTTCTGACTCGATGTCACACAACGACAACAACAACATGGGCACGGTCCTCTCTGGTCACACAAGGTCACCATGAGTCAGAACTGACATGGTGACAGCTGCTAGGCAGGCAAATTACTAATTAGGAAACTGAGATGTGGAAAGGCTTTGATTTGCTGACAGTTACACAAACTTGTAAGTGATGGAGCAGGAAATCTGAGCCCTGGGTGAGACTCCATAAACCTGCCTGGTCCTCAGAGGAGCTCTTGCCTCTTAAATCACTGCTGGGCACCTCACAGGGCTGGGATCCGCACTGGGTGTGGCATAGCCTTATGGAGAAACAAAAGTATCTCCTTATTAAGTCCAGAGGAGGGCCTGGAGTCTTGACACCCACTCCAGCGCTCAGGAACATCCAGAAAAGCACAATTTCAAGGACCTGGGCACCCAGCGTAGGATACGTGAGAGGCCTTGCCCTGCTGCCCCTCGTGGATCCAGATGCCCAGTGTGGGGCATGTGAGAGGCCCGCCCTGCTGCCCCTCATGGACCCAGGTGTCCAGTGTGGGGCATGTGAGAGGCCTGCCCTGCTGCCCCTCGTGGACCTGGTGCCCATGTGAGAGACCTGCCCTGCTGCCCCTTGTGGACCCAGGTGTCCAGCGTGAGACCTGTAAGAGGGTTTGCCCTGCTGCTCCTTGTGGACCCAGGTGCCCAGACGTGAGAGGCCTTGCCCTGCTGCCCTTCGTCCCCTTGCTCTGGGCTCTACTGCCCTTCCTTCGCGCTAGGAGGAGGGAGGGCAGGGAGTAGGATGACAGGGAATCATGGCCCGCCCTGACTCTCAGTGGGTAGTTCTCACGACGTCCCTGGGCCCTCTCCCCACTGGAACGGCTGCCTCCTGCCTCCCCCGTGGCCCGTCTCTCTTGCTAACTTTGCTTCAGTTTCCCTTTCCCAGCATTTCCTTTCCCAATCCTGTCTGCCCCTGATGACTCAGGCCCTCTAACAGTTTCATGGGGTTTCTGTCTCCTCTCTCCACTGTCATTTCACACCTAAACTTTATAGCACCCACATTTTAGTTTCCCTGAAACTGGCTTTGATGTTGCCATGTCTTTCCTCTAGAATCTTCAATGGCTCCTGGGGCTACCAAACCACATCCACGGGCTCCTCTCACCTTTCCCGACCACCAGCCTCATGAAGTATTTCCAGAACCACCCACATGTACTGTCTACCCCACAGAGTTCCCACAGCATCCTCTTAGCGCCTCTACAAGAGGACTGGTCATAGAAACAAAATGGGAGCCCAGCGCTTACCGTTAAATTGCCTAGTCAAAGAAATCATTGCATAGAGTCCATTCTGTTTCATTCAGGAACTCTATGGGAGCTCTAGTGGCCTCGTAGATAGGGAGCTGTGCTGCTAACCCAAAGGCAAGTGGTTCAAATCCACCAGCTGATCCGAGGAAGAAAAACGGGCAATTTCCTCCTGAGCAGTTTACAGCCTCTGAAAACGCCCTGGAGGGTCAGCTATGAGGTAGTGCTGACTCAGCAGCAATGAAATGATCATGGATGATGACGACAGAACAGAGAGCCACCCGATAGTTTCTAGAGCTGTAACCTTTAGAGAAGTAGCTTGCCATTATCTTTCATTAGCATTATCTACAGGCCGGCTGTTGGGTTCATACTACCAACCTTTTGGCTAGCAGCCAAACACTTTAACTATTGTGCCACCTGGAGTCCCTAAATCACCTAGTAGCCATAATTTAAAGTGAAATTAATTTTCATAATATATTGTCTTTCACCCAGTTGATCTGAAATCCAGTGGGTATTTCACACTTCAGGCAAAGCTTAGTTTAGAAGAACACAGGCCCTCGGCTAGAGCCTTCACTGGAAGGCAGGGCCTCAGGCCTTACAGCTGAGCTTGGACTCCTGCCAGCTGAACTCAAACTATTCTGACAAGCTAGTTCCACCTTCCTCATCTACACGGGAATAATATCTATTATGGTCAGCACTCTGGTCAGTCCTTACAACAATTCTGTCATCACCACGACTGCCTGCCATGATGTTTTGCAGGTGAGGAAAACGAGGGCAGAGAGCTGGGTAAACTTGTTAGACTGAGGATTGAATTGTGAGCCTCCTCCCCCAAAATATCTATTGAAATTGTAACTCCTAAATCTGTAGGTCTAATTAATGTTAGGTAGTCATGGTGAGGTTGGCTCAGGATAGGGCAAGGTTCAGAAGCAATGTTCATCTAAGTCTTACTCAACTCAACAACACAACAATAATGACCTTTCTGTATTACACTGAGCTAGAGAATGGATCTTAAACCTATCACTTCTGAGTTGTAGCAAAAGCAGCAAATAGTCACAGAGATGTGCAGAAACAGAAAGAGAGGCGCCTTCTGACGAGGACAGAGAGGAAGCTACAAGCCCAGGAGTCCCAAGGGCTGCTGGAAACCACTAGAAGCTGATTGCACTGCCAATCCAAAGGCACGTGGTTTGAATTCACCAGCTGCTCCACAGAAGAAAGATGGGCAGTCTCCTCACGCGGGATTTACTGCCTCTGAAAACCGATATGAGGTCCGGCCGAGTCAGTTCTGAGTCAATGGCATGAAACGACGTCACAAGTAGAAGATGAAATAGACAAAGGCAGGCCTCTTCAAGGCACATCCTAAATTTGGACTTAAGCCTCGTGAACTCTGAGAAAATAAATGTCTTTTCTTTAAAGGCAACCACTTGTGGTGTTTCTGTGACAGCAGCACTAAGACACCAGTAAGTAGCAGAGCCAGGTTCCATGCCCAGCCATCCTTGTTCTCAATCAACAGCTCTGAGAAACCACCTCTCAGGACTGACTGACCCGTGAGGAGTCAACGAGCTCAGATAGGGAGCACGCCCAAGGCGAATGTCTGCATCAAGCTGAGCCTTGTTATCTCTCCCTCCCAGACCTGGAGCTTGGTGTGGAATGAACCTGTCACCCTCAGCTCTGAGCTCTAGGATATCCTACCGTGCCACTGACCTAGAAACCTGTGTGCACGCTTGCCCGTCTGAGTTCTTCCAGAGAGACCTGGCCCTGGTGACACTTGTAGAGGGGCTGAGTTTTGCTTTTCTGGTGAGTTCTTCAGAGAAACAGAAAGTGAGATCTGGAGAAGATATCACAAGTAAAGGCCAAGAGGGTGGGAAACCTTGGGATCACACAGTGGCCTCCAGCCAAGCTGGGCAGCTTGCCCAGGTCCAGAACGCTTGCTTGTCTGAGGTAAGGACTTGCCATGGCCCTGGGAGGGCAGGAGGGAGAGGGCTCTGAACCATCAGGTGCCTTTTGTTCTTCAGAACTGCGAGGGCCAGAGCCCTTGCTCAAAAGCGTTCCCCAAAACAAGAGGAGAGGTTAACAGCAAGGAGCCATGTCTAGTCAGAGGACCCAACACCCACTTTCACCTCCCTGGAGGGTTTACCAGTGGCAGCTAGGTCTCCAGGAAGTAATGGGACATCAAGTGGGGCTCAGAGTCCCTATCCCCCAAAGCTGTTCTCAACTGTGAGCCTGAGCCTCCCAAGGCAGGGGATTCTGGAGGCCATCCCAGGCCCCAGTGGCTACCCACATGGGGTAGCTGGAATCCCCAGGACTGGGAACCCACATCCTGAACCTGGAGCCCAGGCACTGGGGAGGGGGGAGGTGCCCAAGCCCTTTTCTCCCTTCACTCACCTCCTGCTTGGCCACCGTGAATGGTGTGGCCCTCTCCATGTGCTGAGGCGTGACCCCGCTGACTGCAGTCCTGTAGTCGGTGATCTCGCCCTCAGGCCGGATGAACTTGTCAAAGAGCACGGTACCGTGGACGTCGACCAGGCTGCAGCGAGCCAAGCCACTGTCCCGGCCGGGCCCCAGCCCCACCATCTCACAGTCCATGGCCACCACCTCAAAACCACTCGCCATGCTCCGCTGGACCCCCAAACGTGCTGCAGAGGGTGGCAGGAAGGCCTCATGTGCCGCCTTGCCAGCTCGCAGGCATCCTCAGCCATGACCCAGCCTGCGCTCACCCTCTGCCTGCCCTTTGTCACAAACACCACCTGGCAACAGGGGAAGTTGGCCACCACACCCAGATCCACCAGTCTCTGCTTGCAGCCTCAGCCTCGGGGAGCCGCCCTTCAGCCACCTCCCCGCAGCAGTTACCCCGGGAGAAGCCCTCTGGACCCGCTCTCCCTGTTATCCACTCTCACCTGGCTGCTTCCTGTGTCCTCCGTTCACACCTGCCTCCTCTGTGCTGCTTCGGAGCCAGGGCAGTTGCTCTTAACAATGACTCATCTCTGACTCTAAACTGTGAATCCTGAGACGACTAAGTTTCAGTTTCTGGTTTGTGAGTGAGTGATGTCTATCTAGGGTGGAAGGCTGGGCCCCTGGGGAGCCAGGCCAGGGCTGACACAGTGGGCAGGCTGCCCTGGGATGTCCCTCTTTTACTGCCTCTCCCTCCCATTCGCCCGCCCCTGTGACGTCCCATATGTGAATGAGTGGATTGTGACATCCGACATCCTCGCTTCCCCTCCGCCCATAGAGTAAACATCCCCAGGACTGGAGCCCAGGAATGTCCCACAGCTTCCGGGGCCACTACCAGTCTGATACTATCTGGGGTCTTTCATGGGGAAAAGGGAAACCCCTTTTGGGACACTGAGGCTACAACGGTTAGGGACAGGTGAACAGTCAGTCTCCAGCTGAGCATGCACTGGGTCTTAGTAAGTCTGCGGGAAAGTGTTGAGCTTCGCCAATTTCTATTAAAAAGAAAAATTCTAAAATGTAAAAATATACTTTGGTGAGCTTTCTAGGACTTAGGATCCCTCATACCTGCCTCCTACCCTCAAACTCACAGGAAGAAAACTTTGTTATTAGAATGAAAGCTCAGAAAAGAGCTGGGGGAAGGGGGGAAGAAAAGAGCTCGGGCTGCTAAACAAGGGGGTCATCCACCTCCAGCAAGGCTAAGACGTCTCGATAAAATGGCATTGTTTCTGTGGCTCAGCTGGTTCAAGTTTGAAGTTGCTGTTAGGTGCCCTCGATTTGAGTAGGACTCTTAGTGACCCTAAGAAAAGACCTGAACCCTGTCCTATTCTATGCCACCTTCCTCACCTCTGACACACTTGAGCCCATTGCTACAATCACTGTGTCAATCCATCTATCTCATTAAGGGCCATCCCGTCTTTTGTGACTCTGTACCTTTCCAAGCGTCATATCCCTCTCCAAGGACTAGCCTCTCCCAGCAACATGCCAACAGTATGAGATGCTTCGCCATTCTTGCTTTCAAGGACTCTCACTGTACTTTTTGTAAGACCTGTTTCTTTTGACAATCCATAGGATATTCAGTACTCTTCTCCAACATCACAAAACTCAAAGACATCAATTATTCTGTCATTTTTATTCATTGTCCAGCTCTCAGAGACATAGCAAGTGGTTGAAAAAAAAAACCATGGCTTTTATCAGGCACACCTTTCTCTTCAAACTGACATCACTGCTCCTCAGTAATTTGGAGCGGTCCCAGATAGCCAACTTTCCCAAAATAATGCATCTCCTAACTGCTGGTACCAAGGGTGCTGACTATAGATACAAAGACCATGGCCTGAATCATGTGCACCTAGTCTTCAAACTAACACTGCTACTCCTCAGTATTTTTAAGAAATCCCTGAGAGCAGTCTTGCCCAATGCAATCTTTGTCCTCATCGCCTGACTCCTGGTATCACAGGTGCTGATTGTAATTCCAAGAGAAAATTGTTGACAATTTCCATTCCCCCCCCCCATCTATCATGATGTTCCTTATCGGTTTGGTGGTGAGGATTTTAGTCTTCTTGATGCTGAGATGCAATTCATAATGAAGGCTGTAGTCTTTGATCTTCTACAGCAAGTGCTTGAGGTCCTCCTCACTTTTAGCAAGCAAGGTTGTGTCATCTGCATAATGCAGAAATGAGTCCTCCTCTAATCCCGATGCCACATCCAGCTTCTCAGATGATTTGCTCAGCATACACATTGAATAGGTATGGAGAAACAAAAAGTGTAAAGTCCCTGAGATTATTTTTGGTGCCCATCTAGAAGGAGGAAGTTTCTCTACTAACCCAAAGGCAGCCCCTCTCTTGTAGTTGAAATTTACCAGTGATTCCCAAGGGGAAAGATGTGCCATCTCCTCCCTCCAACTTGGAGCCTCCGAAACCCAACACAGGGTCAGCAACTAGATGGTCAGTTCCAACTAGATGGCAGTGAATGTGATGCAGAATGAACAACTTACGCTTATGTTTGAAATCATGGCTGACACCAGTGTGGGCACTCCTGGCTATGCGAATGTGTAAAGGTTTGCAACCCTGACTTGGAGGAAACGAAGCAAAGTTCCTGCACATTTGCATGCACTTAAAAATAAGCCACTTTGCTAACTAACTCTCATGAGAGAAAGGTAGAAACTCTCCTCCTGGTGCTTTTGAAAACCTACCGGAGGGTCAGCTATGGGTTGGTTCTGACTCGACGATACACAACAGCATGGTAATGTTACATGGGAAAAGTGTAGTAAGTGAAATATGCTTGTGTGGGAAAATGTTTCGGTAGGTATATTTTAACCACAATCAGCTGATCAATAAAGCTCAGTGGTTTCAGTATCTACAATCTGCATATCAACTCCATGTGTTGTGTGCACCTGAATGTCTTTTGCTGGTTCACACATATTCACATCTCAGCTCAGCCCCCGACTCCTCACCTCCTTAAGTCTCAGAGCCATCGCCACCCCTCCAATCTGCTCTCCCATGGCTCGTCCTGTACCGGCTCCTTGGAGTTGGTTTTTCCCTTCTCCCAGCCCTACTCCCTTCAGGTCCTCAGTCACCGCAGGCCAAGAGAGCTGCAGTCCTTTCCTGAGCCTTCCCCACTCCAGCTTCATGCCCTCTAAATCATCCAAGGCCTCTACGATTGTTTCTCCACATCTTATCTCCTCTACTCCTCCTTTCAAGAACCTGCAGTGGTTTCCCCATTGTCCAACAGAATCAAAACTCAACTCTGAGGCAGCTTTCTGGGCAACGGGAGAATCCTTTCAATTACCCTGCCCACCTTTCCAGTCTCATCTTACATCCTTATCCCATTATGACATCTCTGAGGTTTAAAGCTTAACTTAGGGTCTTTACTCATTCACACAGCGTTTCCTCCCAAGCCACCAGCAGGTTCTCCTGGCCTCCTTCAGGTAACGTGGCTGGTGACTCTCTATGGCTGGAGGGATGTCAGTCAGGTGTTGGACTTGCCTTCAGGTGGAAGGCAGGCAGGGAGCCGCCAGCCTCTCTCGCACACACCACAGCCTCATTTCCAGCTGTGCTGGCCTTTTCTCTGCTTCTCAAAGCTCCTGTTTTAGGGCCCAAGCACTTGCTGTTCCCTGTCTGGAAAGCTCTTCCCCAGGTATCCCATCTAGTTTACTCCCTTTCTGAGATTGTTTCATGTGTTCATTTACTGGTTCCCCTACCTTTTGCTTTGTTTCGCTGTGAAGCACCTACAATCCTGCGCTGAGCTAGGCGGGGGTTTTCAGACGTGTTGTGTGCGCTGACCTTAGATATAGTCATGGGGAATAACAGCCTGAAAGGCGAAACCTGACTCCAGCCTGACAAACAATTAGGGGGTTCCCAGGCTTGGGTGGTCTCATCCATCACCACTGACATAAGTGCACAACTCCTGGATCAGGTGACAGTACGAAGGTGGGTCTCACAGTCCCTTCTTCCAGCACCACTGGCCTTAGCAGGTACTAAGGTCCCCTGTGAGCATTCTCTGGGTCCCCAGTACCAGCTGCATGATGACTCAGTGGAAATCAGCACTACTCTTTACACAGCCTGCCTTTTGGATTCTAGCTGAACTATTTCCAAGCCTGGTGGAGCATGCTGTTATTAGGTGCCGCTGACAGTGACGGACAGCACCCCTGTAACAGACCTCAGCCCTGGCCTGTCCTATGCTGTCCCCATCGTCTCTGACTACTTAAGCCCACTGCTGCAGTTCTTGTGTCAATCCATCTGGGTCTCCCTCTTTTGCTGACCCTCCACCTTCCCAATCATGTCCCTTTCCAGGGAAGTGTTATTATGGACCACCAAATCAGAACTGACTCATCGCTGATCCTCCAGCAGGTTTTTTTTCCCACAGGCAATAAATTACACAGTTGATGGCCCATCTTTCTCCCATGAAGCAACTGGTGGATTAAAATTGTGAGGCAAAGATTCTGAAGCTTCGTCTGTATTACCCTGGACATGTTGCAAGGAGGGACCAGTCCTAGAGAGGGATGTCATACTTGGGAGGGTGGAGGGACAGTACAGGGGAAGAAGACCCTGGATGAGATAGATTGACTCAGTGACTGGGGAAATAGGGTTAGGTGTGTCAAAGACAATAAGGTTGGCATAGGATAGAGCAGGTATCAGGGCTATTGTACATGGGATCACATCACCACCATCACCTTTGGATTAGCAGCACAACGCCTTACCACTAAGCCACCAGGGCTCCCTTTCTAAGGAACAGACCCTCCTAATACACCTAAAGTATGTGAAGGAATGTTTTGTAATCCTTGTTTCTAAGGAGGGTCCTGGTTAGATTTTCTCCAAGACTTACCTGGGGTTTTTTTGGCAGTCCGTAGGATATTTAGTACTTTTCTCCAATACCACAGTTCAAACGCATCAACTGTTCTCCTGTCATCCTTATTAACTGTCCAGCTCTCAGATGCACAGCAAGTGACTGAGAAGACCATGGCTTGCATCAGGCACACATTAGTCTTCAAACTGACATCACTGTTCAATAATTTGGATCATGGACAGCCATGCAATGCATCTCCTGATCTCCTGCTGGCACCACGAGTGCTGACGGCAAGATGAGATACAAGACCAAGTTACTGACAATCTCAATCTTTTCTTCCCCAATCATGATGCTGCTGGTTGGTTCATTGGTGAGGATTTTTGTTCTCTTGATGTTGAAACGGAATCCATATTAAAGGCTACAGTCCTAGATATTCTGTAGCAAATGCTTAAAGTCCTCCTCACTTTGAGCAAACAACTCAGATGAGTCTTCCTCTGACCAGATGACACATTCAGCTCTGTAAGATTCCGGCAACAGATTTAACAGGCATGGTGAGAGGATCCAACCCCCACACACACCTTTCTTAAATTTAGAACCATGCAGTGTTTCCTTGCTCTGTCCAGACAACAGCTTGTGGGTTTAGCTGTTTTATGAGCATAATTAAGCGTTCTGGGATTTTTGTTATTCTCAATGCTGGGCATACACTCCTAAAATGTGTGTATAATTTCTAAATTATATACTCTAGATGTCTAGAAATATACAACATCACGAGTCAAAAACAAGTAGTAATCAGTCAGATAATGTGATTTAAAAAGAATAAAAATGATATTTAATAGATATATAACCATTCTGGAGTTAAAATTATTGCTGTTCAATCAATTCTGACTCACAGTAACATAGAGAACTGTCCTGCAGAGTTTTCAGAGCCATAAACCTTCAAGGAGGCAGACAGCCGTCTTTCTCCCAAGGAGGAGCTAGAGGTTTAAACTCTTATGTTCACAGCAGATCACCTAAGTAAGGTGCCACCAGGGTTCTCTGCCAAGAGTACACAGAATTGTAATAAGCTTTATATACATACATAACTTGGTATTACTGTTGAGTCAGAACTGACACATAGCTGAATCTCCAATGGTCTTTCAGAGGCTATAAGGTGCACAGAAGAGACTGGCCATTGTTCTCCCATGAGTAGGCGGTATATTCAACCACCTGCCCTTGGGTTGGCAGCACAACTTCTTACCACTAGAAATTTTGTGTATGTCGGTGTATATTTAAAAAAGCTCCCACTCAGTGAGATGCAAATTGAAACCACAGTGAGATACCATCAGACCCCAGTCGCAGTGGCAAAGTTTATCAGGGCAGCACATTATAAATGCTGGAGAGGAGGAAGAGAGCTGGGAACTCTCATACAGTGTTGGCGGGATTGTAAAATGGTACCACCACTCTGCAAGGCAGTTTAGTGTGTTTCCTCAAAACCTCGAACAGAGAAACAACCCAGCTATTCCACTACCAAAAATATACTCCAAAGAAATTAGAAATGAGATGGAGGAGGAGATTTGTACACCAATGTTCATCGCAGTGTTATTCACACTGCAAGAATATGGAAACGGCCCAAACGTTCAACCACAAATGAATGGATTGAGAAATTCTGGTATATTCACACGATGGAATACTACGCAACACCCAGGAGCAACAACTTCAAATTCATAACCTGGGAGACTGGAGAGCATTATGCTGAGTGAACTGTCAGTATCCTAAGGACAAATACTGTCAAAGAGTATTACTATAAAAATAGGATAGCTAGTTAACACATGTAAGGGGATCCCATGGGGGAAGGGGTGGGAACAGAGGGGATGAGGATGGGTAGGGGCACCATCACAGGGCTGCACAATCTGGTAGGTGGGGGTAAAGGAAATGGGAAAGATCCAGCAGGGACCTGAAAAGACAGGGTTATGGTGGGCACAGTCCAATGGTGATTAAGGTTCTAAAACATAATGGAAATGACTGTATAAAACACAAAGTGAATGAAAACAGTATGAAACATAATGTATATGAACTTTCTAAGGAAACCAATTAAAAAAATACTAAAAAAAAAAAAAAAAAAAAGCTGCCACCACCACACACCAATGCCCCAAGGCTCAGTGCCCAGGTTCTCCCTCTCCCACCAAACCAGCCTCCCACCTTATTATCACTTAAGGATTCACAGAAGAGGCCACTTCACACATTTTTCAGTATAGTTTTAATCCAGAACAAAAGGTTTTACAATAAAATGGATTTTTCAAACTCAGTTCAACCCATTTCGATCAGCTTTGGACTCCCTACTCTGAAGTGGTGACAACTCAGCTGGGAGTGTGGCATCAGCTTCAGACTTAAGGACTCTGGAACCAACTCCTGAAGCCAGGCCACCACCAGGAAACAGCTCCTACACTCTGTGTGAAAAGGGACACCACCTGTGACCTCAGGGTGGGGAAGAGCAGCACAGTATAACTACCTGCTGACCTGTACTCGGCTCAGCCCTCATGGAGAACCACCGGGACAGTCTGATCACGGCGGTGGAGGGGGAGGGGACACTCCCAAGAAGCCAGCCCCAATGTCTACACATAGCACACGCTGGTGCCAGAGTTGAGGGGCAGTGTGACCTCCATATGCCCTAACCCCAGGTCCCACTTTCTGGACTTTCAAACACTTCTTTGTCTGGGTCAAGGCTATCTGATCTTAGGGGCTCAGCATTCTGGTTTCTAACCTTTTGAAAAGGTTGAAACTAATCCTTAAACAAGAAATAGCAGCTCACATCCACTGAGGTTTTCCATGAGCTTGGCACCAACTCCTCAAAGCCACCCTGTGCCTAATTATATATTTCTTTGAACAGTTCTTTCCATCATCTGTTCTATTGCGGTGTTATTTATCCCCATTTCTTAGTTTCCCAATCAGAATATGATATACATTTCAAAGCAGGCTGGGGGAGGGGTGGAAGTGGAAGGAGGAATTTATATAACAATGAATTAATTTTATTTTTTAAAGTGAACTGGGTGGGGTAGGGAGGAAAACGTGCAACAATGAATGAATAAAAATCCAACTTTTCTATAAACTTTTGTTAAAATCACAATTAAAAAAAACGATTATCTGCCTTGAACACTTTAACCCTTAATCTCTTTGAGATTAAACTGACAAAAGTAAAAGGACAGACTAGATAGGAAACTTGGGGGACGATGGGTTAGTGGGAGAATGATATCTCAGAAGGGGAGAATGGCTGCATAACTTGAATGTAATCAATGTCATGGAATTGCACATGTAGAAATGTGAACTGCTTTATCTTTTTGCTGTATGTAGTCTCATCAACAAAAAATAAATTACTTTGAAAGTTTAAAAAGAAACAAACAAACCACCTGTGAGGTGGTTTTAAGAAACATGAGGCCTTCTTGACAAACAAACAAACCTCAAAGCACAAAAACAACCCCATGAGGTAGGCTGTACATCACCCCTGTACAGGCGAGGAAAATAGGTTCCGGGGTGATATGACATACACACCGCACAGAGCCTTAAGGCTGAGAAAGTGGCAAAGCCAGGCCTTCAAACAGCATCTGCACGACCTGAGCTCTTGGTCTCTCCAAAGTGTCCCTCGGGGAACCAGGAAAAGAGAGGGATGAGGAGAAAATCCAGAGAGACATTATAAATTAGGAGAAAAACCAACAATCACAGTGACTGTCAATCAAAGTGCACAAGACTCCAGCCTGAGAGCAGGCCGTCTGCACAGCCGGGCTGGCCTGCCCTCAGCCTGAGTGACCGCTCTGCTGCCCAGGGACTGGCAGCCTCGCTCTTAACCAGAGTGCCTAGAGGACGATTCTGCTCAGAGTCCCCAGTATTCAAAGCAGTCTTGTTTCTCAGGTTCCTGTTTAGTGCTGGGTACCCTAACCTAACCAACCCATCTAAGCCAATAATCTTAAGTCGATTCCACCTCACAATGACCAGAGGAGTCACAGCTGAATCACACCCCAGGGGGGTTTCAGTGGCTAAGATTTTAGAAACAGACTGCCAGGCCTTCCTTCCAAGGCATCTATGGATCAATCCAAGGCTCCAGCCTTCAGTTAGTAGCCACGGTTCTGCCCAGGGAGGCCAAGTGCTAAGGAAGGAGGGGCAATCCCCAACTTGGTCAGAACCGACAGGCCACGTTTAGAGCTTATCTCCTCCCCGAATTCTGCGTGCTGCCTTCTAATTCCATGCACCAGGGCAGCCTGAGGACACGATCCTTACACTGCTGCTGAGCAGGGAGATGACGGCCACACAGTGGTGCTCCAAGTGAACTGGCTATACTCTGTTCAGAGTTGATGAAGTGTCTTATTCTGAACTCAAAAATGACTCTGGAGGAGGAGGTAGGTAGGTGGCAATGATAAGAAGAGAACTTTACCCAAGTCACCTCATTGAGACAAGGGAGGGAATGACCCCTTCAGATGGCACAACATGGCAAGCTTAGGCACACTGGGTTGGGAAAAGACCAGCTGGCCATGGGAGAGTCTACCTGACATCCCGTAGTGTCTGTTAAGTGCCATTGGCCAAATTATCTGAGTGGAAGACAAAGGCTGAGCTGTGGTGGTAGAATCAGTGAGGGCACAACTGTCCACCTGCCCTGCCTCCAAGCGGGCTGGCTGCACCCTGACTTGCCCGGATGAGCTCCCTGAGCACTCCTGGCCTTGACTTCCCACACAAGCACATGGAAGGAAGTGCTGTTCACCCCCACTCTCACCTTCCTGTCCTACGCCTGCCCCTCCTCTCCAATGCTCCCCACGGTGAGGTCATCGGGCCAGTACTGGTCCTCCATGAACTGCTCCAAGTTTGTGCTACTGTCAGGCTCTCTGTCTTCAGGATGGTCCTGCGGGCTGCTGGCCTCCTGCTGTTCCCACCGCACCTCCACCAACCGGTACAGCTCCATGGCTGTTGCTGCATCTTCCACCGAGGAGTGCCCATGCCGGCCCACCTGCAGGCAAGGGTTGACATCTCAATGGCAGTCTCAATGACAGAAATCCTGCTGCCTCCTACCCTAAAACACGGGCTACCATCCTGGGCTTTGTACAGACCCAAGAACACTTACTCTAAGAGAGGGTACAGACCTTGGGATGGAAAATGGCATGGAGTCTAGAGCACATCATAAAGGAGATTGAATCTCAGTCCTATCACAGGCCATCTGGTATCTCTTAGCCCCAGTTCCCTCAACTATAGAAAAGAGTAAAAACCTTCTACTTCAAAAACTTGTCAGAAATAGCAAAGTAATGGCTAGCTTAAGTGTCAATTTGGATAGCAATGATGTCTAGTTATTCGGTCAAACATTACTCTAGATATTGCTATGAAGGCATTTAATTTAAGTCAGCTAATCTTATAATGCCAAGTAGAATTTCCAGTGGACTTACATATAAATTTTGGACACAAGACTATTTTCAGCCTATGGTCTAATCTAAAGATTTTGACTTAACCCATACAATTGCATCAGGCAATACTTCAAAATAAATCTATCTAATCTATTGGTTCTTTCTCTGGAAAATATCCAAAACCCAACCAAAGCATGAGCTCCTTGCTCCCTGGCCTGATAGCTCCCATCTGGTTGCAAACGCAGGGACAGAATGGAGGAGCTGGGTTGGGGGCCGAGCTGGATGGGATCGGCCTGTGTGTGACTGCTGTTTTAATACTGGAGAAGGATGACAGAGAGAGAAGTCCAGGGCTACCTGCACTCACAGAAAGCCTGTGCTTTTATGCCAAGTGCCCTGCACCTGGCCTGGAAAAGAATGACTGGCAGCCAGAGGCACCGTCACACAGCCTCGGCTTGGCTTACCTGGTCTGTGGTCTTGGCTGCCAGACTCGGCACGGGGCCAGGCTGTCCATTCCCCACCCTCCCAACCACCTGAGTCCACACACCTGGATCTTCTTGTGCAGCAGCTGCAGGGCCAGGTCCTTCAGGGAGACCCGGGCCCGGGAGGGGAGGCCAGGTGGGCTGAGGAAGCTTGGGACGTAAGTGGTGTCGCGGATCTGGCTCCGAGGATGGGTGTATTTGAGGGCCCGGAAATCATTGTGCACAGCATGGCCCACCACCACTTTGCCTTTCAGGAGCTTAAGGATCTGTGGGGCGAGAAAGGAGGAGCAAGGTAGGCCTGGCTGTCAGGCTGGAATGGGGTGGGAGATCCATCCTGAACCCCTCACCATTTGGTGCCTAAGTTTCTCCAAAAGGAAGCAACCCTGAATAGGGAGCTGAGTTCGACCATCAACCAATCTACTCTTAGTGTGAATCCAGGCTCTATGTTCTAGCTGTCTAAGGGGTAGACTCAAAGTCTCTGCACTTTAGTTTCTGCTCCTGTAAAAAGAGAATGTCTCCCATAACCACATCTCCTGGGGTGGAGTAGGAATTAGGAGGTCCTGGACAGCTAACTACTCCAGTCTCCTGCTGAATGGGTCTTTCCCTCAGCTCCCACCTCATCCAATTCTACCAAGTATCCCACTGCGGGTCTTAGCTACCACCAACTCCTCTGGTGTCCATCCCAGACTCCTCCTGCCTTTCTAAATAAGGAACCTCACTCTTCTGTCTCAGCATCCAGCTCTCAGGATGGTCAATCAGCTGACTCCATAAGTGTGGGCACCATGTTTGAATTAGCTAACGAGGCCCTAGTTAAGAGCCCAGCACCCCCAGGTAACCAACAAAGACCTGCTGGGGCAGCACAGGAGCCCTGACAGGCACTAGGAGGCACATCAAGACAGCGCTAACAGTTGGCAGTTGGTTACTAACCAAAAGGCTGTGGTCTGAACCTTCCAAGTAGCACAAAGGAAGAAAACCAAACAATTTTCCAAAATTATACAACCTATTGAGAAGATATAGACACATGTGGGGTCTCCAGGAGTAGGAAGTGACTTGACGGCGACAGCTAACACGGTTAATATTAAAAGCCGCCATCCCATCATTAGGCTTCTTATACTCACCTTCCTCTCTGTCAAACAGACCCCCCAGTCCATCCTCTAACGTCAGTTCAGAATTCCTGCACTCAATTTTCTCTTCTTCCTGCTTGGGGACCTTCTCAGACTCCGGGGAGGCTGTGTCCAGGTCTACTTGCCAGCACCAACTTTGCCCAGTGCTCCCTGCTGGGCAGCAGCTCTTCTTATGGACAGCTAATGGCCTCCCACCGCCCTCTCCTGGCCACATATGCCTTACTGCTAATCCTAGAGTGGCCAGCAGATGGACGATAAGTATTGAACGCCTTAGCTACTCTGCTTTTGAGAGTAATGGACAGGCAGGGGGTACAACAGGAATCACAGGACTCCTTTCCTATACCTCGATTCCTCATTAGTTTACATGATAATCAATAATGAAAAGCCCCAAAGCTTTTGAAATAATGTTTGATACAGATCAAAAAAGTAAAGAAAAATTCCACTGGCTTTAAGTTGAAGCAATTCCATTAGATAGAGAATGAATGGCCTCACAGGGACTCCAAGACTGGGTATCTTTACAGAAGCAGACTGTCTCATTTTTCTTCCTCCACCTTTTGATTAGTAACCCAATGCATAATCCAGTACATCATCAGGACTCTTGATGGAAAAATAGGACATCAGAAAATATGTATTTTCCAAATTACTATGACTAGGGATGATAAGAGAGAGAATTGATGCCTTTGAGCTGTGGTGCTGGAGTGCTGAGTATGGTATCACAGACGGCTAGTAGAACAAACAAGTTCATCCTAGAGAGGGTGAGACCAGGCTGCTCCTTGGAGGCAAGGATTCGGAAGCTTTATTTGACATACTTAAGGCATGTTGCAAGAAGGGACTAGTTCTTGCAGAGGGACATCATACTTGGGAGGATAGAGGGACAGTGCAAGAGAGAAAGACCCTAGATGAGGTGGACTGATTCAGTGACTAGGGAAATGAAGGTAGGTGTGTCAGAGATAGGGCAGGGTTCAGAGCTGTTGTACATGGGGTTGCTAAGAGTCACATACAAGCAACTCAACCCACACATAACAACAACAAATAAAATTTGTTGAATCTGAGCCAAGAAGTGAGGATGAAAGAACACAACGCGTGCACACCTCAAACACCTGTCATAAGCCACACCCATCTGCATGTGGTGCCACAACTTTTCTCCTGATTTCAGATAATCTCCTCCACCACTGCACAGAAACCTCCACCCTTTTAGTGAGCAGCGTGCCCACTACACACAGAGTCCTAACACAGAGTTCTGACAGAGTCAGAATTTTTGTTTGTTCTTTTCTATGGGAAAGGAACCTAATGTATAGAAAAGCAGCAATTTCCACAGGGTCCCTTCGACCCCAAAAGGAAAGTGGAGACTTAAGCCTGGGACATGTCACACCAACCCTTACAAGCCAACCAGCCACCTGCCTGGAGCACAGCCCTGCCAGGCCTGCACTCACCTCTTTCTGGGCCACTTGGAAAGTGATGGCTTTGCGCATGTGCTTGCAAGTGATGCCGCTCCAGCGGGTCCTGTAGTCTACGATGGGCATCTCAGGCCGGACGTACTTATCATAGAGCACATCACCGTGGTAGCTCACCACGGAGCAGCGGGCCAGCTCGCTCACTCGTCCCCGCGGCCCTGTGCCCACCATCTCACAGTCAATGGCCACAACCTTGCAAGGTAAAGGCATAGTGACTCTTCTGCAAGCTGGCTTTTGGCTACATGGGGCACTGCCAGGTACAACTTGGGGACCAGGTGTTCCACTGCTGGAGGCTGTGGGACCTGGAGAAGCCTTCGAGGGTACAGGCGGTGGGGAAGACCCTGGCTCCGGGGGTGTGCTCAGCAGCCCCTGCTCCTGCAGCAAGGCCTTCCGGGCCATGAACCGCTGATGCTGTCGGCTTCTCTGCTTGTGCCTTCTGCGAAGCACATCCTTAGCTTTCAGGCTGGCCAGAGGAGGACACAGACACTGGGCAGACTCAGGGCCGTCCCGGGGCACCATCCCAGCCTGCTCCAGCCTCTGGGCAAGGGAATGCTGCGTGATGTTTTCCAATAGGGTAGCATCCTGGAGAGAGAACACACAGGCCAACATGCTGGGTGATGAGCATGCAGGCCAGCCAGGCCCTCCCTCCCTGCAGGCCCCCTTCCCATGCTATCCCACACTCATCTCTCAGCTCCTACGCTGGAAGACCTAATTTTAGTAATAACTGCACTTACAGAGTAAACACCATGTACAAAAGCACTGTTCTAAGTATAATGCATGGAATCGCCTGTTCAATTTTCCCAGTGACCATAAGAAAGTGTTATTATCCTCATTTCAGAGGTAAGAAAAATGGAGGCTTAAAGAAATAAAGTAACTGGCCCAGTTAGTAGAGGCATAGCCTAATAGGACCCCAGACCATCCAAAGCCCAGACTCTCAACCTTCAAAGCCAAGCCTTACCTCCACTGTTGTCAGTCCCAAACATTTTGAAAGAGATAGGGTCATGGGAAAATAAAGATTATGGCAATAACATGCATACACTCGTATTAAAAATCACTATCATGAAATGTGAAGGCACAGATCATTAGCAGATTTTGCAAATCATTTCTACAGGAAGCCCACAATAGTATAGTACTGGTACATGCTGACCCAAGCTGGTCAGTTATTGAAAATGACTTTGAAATCCATGAATCACACAGCTTCCATAAACACCTGCAAAGACTGGGTGTGTTCTTTAGTCATCATTGCCTGTAAGGTAAACAGGCTCCTCTATTAATAAAAACAAAGTCCAAGTCTGTACAGTCAGCAATTCTGTGATTCCCTCCCACTCAGACCACAAGCTCTCCATTCCTGAAAGCCAGGCTGGAAAGGGATCTCTACATTTGGCTCTAGCTCACCCCTGCCTATACAGAATGTATGTAGTTCATGGGTTTACAAAATCTATGCAGTAAGGCCAGCATCCTCCACACAGCTTGGAAAGCCTATCTTACTTGCTGTGCTAAATGCACCAATTTAAAATACACCAGGAAACGAGGCCTTTGAAATCAGGAAGAGCAGAGTTTACACTGCTCTGCACCACTGAGCTTCAGGTTCCTGCTAGGAAAAGGCTTGACTTCTCCTTGCTGTCTAAAGATGAAACAACACAATTTATGTGCTGAGATCTACGTATTTTACTATACACAGTAAGAATAATTAACTATTTCTTCCTTCATATGCTCCCATTCCCGTCCACATTTGGTAACCAGCTCTCCCTAAGAAGTCTTTCTAAGATAACTCCTTTATCCAATGTTGCAGAGCACTCTCTGGGGTCCCCCAGGCTCTGTAGAAGGTACAGGACACTTACTATGGTGGATCCTGGACTCCAAGGAGTCCAGTCTACCCCAGAGACAGATATGGAAGCAGTAATTGTTATTAAGAGCCAAACAGTCTTTTTAGGGTATTTATTGTGCTGCTAGGCAAAAGGTGGTTCGAATTCCCAAGTTGCTCCCTGGACGAATGCTGGGCAGTCTCCTCATTATGATTTACAACCTCCGAAAACCAGGAGAGGGTCATTCTCGAGTCCTAACTCTGACTAGAGGAGGATCACAGCAGGCTCAGGACTGCCATTCTAGCATGAGGTCTGAAGAAGACAAACTAAGCAGATAAAGACAAATGGTAAAGGGCAGGGAGGTGACATGATATGCCAGGATTTAATGACCTGATGTGCTCAGGGTAAAGTGATAATTTGTATGACCAGGACTCCAGCCTGGCTGAATTTGGGATCCAACATTCACTTTACAGTTCTATTTAAAAACAAACAAAGAAATCTAAAGAAAATACACAACTCATGAGATATGACATACAAGATCGGATGAGCTGAAGCATACATGTGGCAGTGATAAACTTTCAACTTTAAGAAAAGTTTTTATTAAAATAATGATAAAAGGACAGTGCAGGTTTATTAAAACTATCATGGCATGTATAATGTTGCGTACCACTGAGCTGGAGCTGTCCCATTGCTGACTCTCTGGAGGGTTTTCAGAGGCAGTTAATCGCAGGGGAGGAGGCTGCCCATCCTTAAGGGACCACGGACATGAATGCAGACACAGTGTCTGACAAACACACATAAACACACAAGTCTCTGGACCCGGCGCTCTAGCTATCAAAGTGCCCCCTGGTCTGTGCGCAAAGGTCACTTTCTCAAGGGAATGAGCCCAGCGGCAGAGTCCACCAAGCGAAGGCCCAAGGAACTAGAATACCAATATCGCCAAAGGCCTCGGGGCTACCGACCCACTTGGCAGTTTTAGATCTTGCTCTGCTGCATCGGGGCAGAATCGGAGAGCTTTCAACTAGGTTACAGGCTTTCCCCAATGCAGTTAATTGTTTGAAACAAATTAGGACTCTAGATTAAAATGTCAGTTTCCAGGCTCCATCCTTAGACTTTCTGAACTACCATACTTTTTTTAAAAAAATCGGATAAAATATCTGTATTTTAAACTAGGGCGGGTGTGTCCCTGGATCCCATGATTGTGATAATCCCTCAATTGAGGACAAGTTTGCTGTTAGGGTCCCCAGAGACGCGCGCGGGCGGCCTAACCTCGTCCAAGGAAGGGCTCGCGTGCCGGTTACTGGCCGAGGCTGCCACTCCAGCGCCCGCCAGGCCAGGCCCCGAGCCCCCCTCCTCCGCCAATGGCCCGGCGCAGGCGCTTGTCGAGCGAACCCGCCGGCCTGAGTGGACCGGCAGACCGAGCCTAGCGGCCCCCGCATGGACTGGGCGCGAACACAACCGCGCCGGGCCATGCTACCGGGTGCATCTCTCACTAGCCCACCGGGTCCCGCCATCCACGCGCAGGGCGCCGATAACTCACCCAAGGCCCCAGCGTCTCCGCCAGCCGCACGTGTACACAGGCCCGCAGTTCCCACAAGTCTGAGCAAGTCGGGCTCTGAGCGTCTGTCTATTGGCTCGGTGAGCAAGAGAGCCCGCCTGAATCATCTTCTGATTGGTCCTGAGTCTGTCACGCTGGCGATAGCGTATGACAGCTGAAGGGGCGGGAATTCCGGAAAGAGGTGTGGTTTTGCCCGGCTTAGGCTGGGCTGCTGGGAGCGTAAGGAGTTTGGACTGTTGGTTCTTGCCCCAGAACATCCGTCCTGTGGCATCAAAGCCTGAAACCAAAACCAACGCCTTCTAGTCAATTCCTGCTTACAGTGATGCTTTAGGACTGAAGGAGGAGTAGAATTGCCCCATAGGTGCCCCTCTGGTGACCTAGTGCTAAATTGTGCTGCCAACTCAAAGGCAGACAGCTCTAATCTCATCCCTTGCAATTTATAGCCTCTGAAAACCCTCTAGAGGGTGGAGTCAGTTCAGACTGGATGGCACTGAGTTTGGATTCTCACGAAAGAACTGAACTGCAACCCAAATAGATCAGCTCCCAGAGGGAGAAAGATGAAGTCGACTCTTGTAAAGATTTACAGCTTTAGAAACTCTACTGGACACTTCTACCTTTTCCTATAGAGTAACAGAGGAATGTCTATATGTGTTTCATTGACTATGCAAAGGCATGTGACTGTGTGGATCACAACAAACTTGGTAACTCTGAGAAGAATGGGAACCCCAGAACACTTGATTGTGCTTATGTGGAACCTATACCTGGACCAGGAAGCAGTCCTCAAAACAGAGCAGGGAAACACAGCATGGTTCAAAATCAGTCAAGGATGTGTCCTATCTCCTTATCTTTTCAGTTTGTATGCAGAACAGATTTTTAGGAAAGCTGGGCTTTATGAGGAGGAATGTGGCATCAAGTTCAGAGGAAGACTCATCAGCAACCTATGTGATGACACAACCCTGCTTGCTGACACTGGGGAGGAGCTGAAGCACTTGCTGCAGAAGATCAAGGAAGGACTGTAGTCTTCAATAAGAATTGAAACTCAACATCAAGAAGACATAGATTCTCACCACTGGGCAAATTGGCAGCACCATGATAGATGGAGAAAAGATTGAGGTTGTTATCAATTCCAGCTTGCTTGGTTCCCACAATCAACACTCTTGGCTTGACATCAGCAGTCAGGAAACCAAAAGGCACTGGGAAAATCTGCTGTCAGGGACCTCTGCAGAGTACTAAGGTGCACCTGATTCAGGCCATGGTCTTTGCAATTACTTACATCAGAGATCTGGACAATGACTAAGGATTACAGAAAAAGAATTGATGCCTTTGAGTTGTGATACTGGAGAAGAGCCTTGAATATACCATAGACTGCCAAGAAAACAAATAAATCTGTCTTGGAGAGTGTGACATCAAGTTTCTCCTTGGAGGCTAGAATTTTGAAGTTCTGTCACATATACTTTGGGCACATGGCCAGGAGTGACTGGTCCTTGGAGAAGGACATCATGCTTGGAAGGGTAGAGGGACAGTGCAGGAGAGAAAGAACCTGGATGAGATGGATTGACTAGGGCCATGGGGGGTAGGTGTGTCAGAGTCAGTGAGGCTGGCTCAAGACAGGGCAGGCTACAGAGCTGTTGTATATAGGGTTGCTATGAACTGCAGGTGACTTGATGGCACATAACAGGAACAACAACTATATTTGCAATCCCAAAAGCATGTGGTTCAAGGCCTCCAGCTGCTCCATGGAAGAAAGATGGGCAATCTCCTCCCATGTGATTAACTGCTTTTGAAAACCCACTGAAGGGTCAACTATGAATCAGTTCCTAACCTATAGTACACAACAACAATATATACACACACACCTGTTACTTTCTGAGTGCAACCCTTGTTCAGATTATTCTCATACATACACTGCACAATCATATTCCTTTCAAATAGTTCTTCCCTACATCTGTCCTAACGAAGTGTTCATTATGATTTTTATGATAGCACCAATCATTGCCATTTTACAATCCTACTTGCCACTTGTATGCACAGTGTTCAGGCCTTTTGTTCATAGGGTCACTATGAGTTGTCTACCACTCGATGGCACCTAACAACAATAACAACGATGACATAGAGGGAGCTACATTGGCCTAGTGGACAGAGAGTTACGCTACCAA